CAGGCGGGGAATAGGGGGACATGCCTGTGCAGGGCACAGGGACCCCAAACCCTGGATGTGGGTACCCCCACCCCTGGAATCCCCGTTGGTCAGCTCAGGAGGCCTCACCGGGCAGGCGCTGGAAGGGACAGCCCCCTCCCCGCCCTTCGCTGCTCCAGCCCAGGCCAACCTGGCCCTGCCTTCCCTCCCTTCCTGGGCCTCACTTGGGGGGACTACAGGGGAAGCCAGAGTCACTCTCCTGAGGCCATTCCTCTCAGTGGGCCTCAGTTTCCTTATGGTCATGGAGACGGTGAAACTGGACATGGGTCCAGAGCACAGGCCTGGCTGCAGCCGAGTCCAGATGTTTCACTTCGGGCCGAGTCCAGATGTTTTGCTTCGGTTCGGCAGACAGACAGGACATGGATGGGAGGGACGCAGCGGGCTGGGCAGGCCTCCAAGCAACGGTAGCTTCTGGAAGCACCCCTCCCTTGGTCCCCCGTCACTGGGAGCCAGAAGAGCCAGTCAGCAGGCAGCCCTGCCCATGCCTTTCCACCTGGTTCCATCCATACTGACCATTGACTCCTCCCAGGACCCCGATTGCCAACCAAGGCTTCAGAAGCCTGACCCCAGGACAGAGTTAAGGTCAAAGTAAAGCAGGGACGGTGGGGGTTGGGGGGAGCTTGGGGAGAGCAGAGGATTTTAGAGGATTTTATTGTGTCCCCGCCTCCTCCAGCTCTGGAGAAACCAGTTGGGGCCCACCTCATTTGCAAGACAAGGAAACTCCCACTAGGAGCACCGATTTGGACAGGGTCTGGCTCCCAAGTGGCCATGAGCTGCTTCCCTCCAGCTCCCCGTGGGCTGGGCCTGGGAGGGGACACAGAGCTCCTGGATGGGCACTCAGCTCCCGGGCAACCCCTTGTTCTACCGCGGGGGGGGGGGGGGGGGGGCGCTGAGGCCCTTCTCCCTCTGGGTGTCCTGCCCGGAAACTGGGCCTCCCTCCTGAGGGTGTGGGCTGCTTGGAGCAGAAGCTAGGCCTCAGTTTATCCATCTGTACAAGGTCCTGAGAGAATAGCCTTGCCTATAGGGGTTATTTAGAACTCTGATCAGGTTTTTTTTTGTTTTTGCTTTTGGGTCACACCAGGTGAAACACAGGGGTCACTCCTGGCTCAGCACTCAGGAATTACCCCTGGCTATGCTCGGGGGACCATATGGGATGCTGGGAATCAAACCTTGATGGACCGCGTGAAAGGCAAATGCCCTACCCATCATGCTATCACTCCAGCCCCATTAGTCAGTTTTTTTTTTTTTAAATACACGCTAAGTACCCAGTGTTTTATTCTGCTGCAGGGGGAAATAGTCTCTGGCCTGGGCATCTGATGATCTGATGACACTGGACTTCAGAGAGGGGCAGGAGTAGACTCACCACGGCACATGGTCTGGAGGGGGAGAGAGATGGGCTGCTGACCAGCGTGAGGCAGGCCCAGGGCTCCAGCCAGCCTCGATTCTTTCCTTTCTCCCCCCGCAGCAAAGCTGGACCCTGCAGGGCAGGGCTGGGAATAGAGGTGTTTTAGACCCCTGCAGCTTGTGGGTCGGGGTGGCGACTGTGCTTTGTCCTAAGGAGAAAGTCAAACTCTTGCCAGGTGCCAAGGATCCTTAGGCAGCACTAGAGAATAAGACCAGCATCTGGAATGCCTCAGGCCCCAGAAATCAAACTTTCCATGAACCACCAATAATAAAATGAATGTGGGGCCAGAGCAATAGTATGTACAGCAGGTAGGGTTCTTGTTTTGCATGTGGCTGACCTGGGTTTGATCTCTGGCATCCCATATGGTCCCCCAAGCACTGCCAGAATTGATCCCTGAGTGCAGAGCCAGGTGTGAGCCCTGCGCACTGCTGGGTACGGTTCCCAAACAAACAAAAGCAATTAATGTGGAGATCTAGACCCTTGTGACTGAGTTCCACAGCATCCGAGGGGCTCAGGCTCTCTAAGCTCCGTGCTGGCTATCCCAGGAGCCACCAGCCTAACATCCCCCACGCAAAGCTAGAGGCCAGCTGTGCTGTGGTCCTTCCAGCTGCATACCAGGAGGACAGGGAGGGACCATGCCCAGGTGTGTGTCGCTGAAGAGCCTGAGTGTCCACCCCCTGGCGCCTTGCGTGCGGGAAAGAGCCTGGACTCTGTCTCAGCAGCTGGGTTGGCTGCCAGGAGCAGCAGGTATCAGACCGCAGCAGGGAGATGGAGGGGTGGCCTCAGAGGATGGACAGGAAGTTAATGGACAGGATGGACAGGAAGTCCAGCTGGTGAAGGAAAGGAGCTGGAGCAGGGAGCCTGGGCTGCTCGCCGCCCACACAGAGATGAACTTGGCTGGGTGATGAAGGACTCCAGGAGGCTGAATCTCAGTATGAGATTCAGGAGTTATCCGTTGACCTTCACTTCACCTGGGGAATATGACTGACTTCCTGGTATGGTGAGGTGCCCTCCCCCCAGCACCCCCAGTCCCCACTGTGCTATCGCCTTACTGGGCGGAACACATCTACATGACCAGCGCCACCTCAGCAATTCTCAGCCAAGTTATAGAACAGGAAGGAAGGTTTCAGGAACCATCCTCAACCCCAGCCAGACAGCTCTGCTTCCTCCCAGGGTCCCTGATCTGCTGCTGGGACAGGAAACTGAGCACTGAAGGGGGGGAGGGGTTCCAGGGAACATGGGCAGGCCCCCCTGAGCTCAGCTGCCTTACATCTTCTGAATCAGTTGCCTGCATTAAAACATGGGAAACTTCGGGACCTGAGCAATAGTACAGCGGGGAGTGCATTTGCCTTGCACACGATGGACCTGGGTTTGATCCCCAGCATCTCATGTGGTCCCCCAAGCACTGCCAGGAGTAATTCCTGAGTGCAGAACCAGGAATAGCCCCTGAGCGTCTCCAGGTGTGACCCCCCCCCCCCCCAAAAAAAAAGATAAAAAAAAAAACTGGAAAGTTTCTCTTTAGCACCTAGCGTTTCAGCTTTCTCCTCTGTGGACAATACCAGCACCACCACCTGGGACACTAATAGTCTAGATAAGTCTGTGCTTTCTCTTGAACAGTTTTCTCTCTCTCTCTCTCTCTCTTTCTCCCCCCTCGCATTTCTCTAAATAAATTTCTTTACCTCATTGAAGACCCGCTGTGGGAAGTAGGAGCGATAGCACAGCGGGTAGGGCGTTCGCCTTACAAGCGGCCAACATGGCCGACCCGAGTTCGATTCCTCCGCCCCTCTCGGAGAGCCCGGCAAGCTACTGAGAGTATTCGATATGCCAGACACAGTAACAACAAAAGTCTCCAATGGAGACGTTACTGGGCCCGCTCGAGCAAATCGACGATCAACGGGAGGGCCTTTACCTTTACCTCATTGAAAATAAAAAAGTATAGAGTTTCGACTTCTCTTAAAAGTCAGGATGGGTCAGAGAACTCTGGTAGGGCATTTTTCATGCATGTGTCTGACCTGGGCTTGAGTGATAGCACAGTGGGTAGGGCGTTTGCCTCGCACATGGTGGACCCAGGTTCCATTCCTCCGCCCCTCTTGGAGATCCCGGCAAGTTACTGAGTGTATCCTGCCCGCACGGCAAAGCCTGGCAAACTCCCCATGATGTATTCGATATGCCAAAAGCAGTAACAACAAGTCTCACGATTTGTTGTGAGACGTTACTGGTGCCCGCTCGAACAAATCGATGAACAACAGGAGGACAGTGCTACAGTGCTACAGTGTCTGACCTGGGTTTGATCCTGGAACCCCATATGGTGCCCCGAGCTGGCCAAAAGTGATTCCTGAGCACAAAGCCAGGAGTAAGCCCTGAGCACCACCGGGTGTGGTCCCCAAACAAAAACAACCCAAAAAAGTCAGAATACTTGGAGCTACGCTTCCAAGGGGCATCTCCCTGCCGCAGCCCCCTCTCCTCCCACACACACACACACACACACACACACACACACACACACATGCACACACCTCCTCTCCTCACAAGTCCCACCTCTTCTCTCTGCAGCTATGCTTCTGAGGGGCCCCTCCTTGCTCCTCCACACATTTCCTCTCGCTCATCAGTTTCCCCTCTTTTTCCTGCAGCTTCTGCTGGATTTGGTTCCTCCCACTCCTCCCCTCAGCTTTGCTTTGGGACTCCCTGCCTGGCCTGCGGCACTGGACATGGAAACTTATAGAACACTCTAGAGTCCCTGCTGGCCCCCCACCTCACACAGGGCTGATGACCCTTTCTGGGGAGCTCACTGCTGTCTCAGTACTAGGGAGACTGAGGCCGGGGAAGGGAGCAAGTGGGAAGGGACAGAGCTGTAGGAGGGAGGGAGGGGGTGCAGACCCCCGGGAGCATGTGCAGTCGAGTGGACCACGCAGGGTTCTGGCCCCACAGTGGGAACGGTCTGCGAGGGGTCACGATCTCCAGACCAGAGGCACCCTGAAGGGTCTCCTAAGCCTGTCCCTGGAGGACAAGCACCCCAGACTGTCAGGGCCGCCCTTGCATCCTCTGCCAATGAGCATACCCATCCCTGCCCCTCTGGGTCTCACAGTGACAGGGATGGGAGCTGGCTAAGGCAAGGGAATATTTACCCATGTTCCAAACACACAGCCCCTTCCTCCCACTCTGCTCTCCCCTCTGGGGCCTTCAGGTGCCCCAGACCTGGTCTTCCTGCTCCCTGGGGGCAGCCTGGGAGGGAAGGAGGGCCCCCGAGGAAAGGAGGTGCCTGTGCCTGGCATGTTCCCTTCCACCAGCCCCCACTGGGCCACTGGCACAAGGCTCATGCCTTGCTGAGTTCATAGAGTGGAGGCCTGAGGGTCTCTGAGGGGCTTCTTCCTCACCCCTCGCTCCCCATCCCTGAGTGCCCTGCCCCTCCTAGCACCCCAGGCCCCAGCCCAGCAGGAGCGGATGGCGAGATGTCCAGAGGGCAACATCACTGGTGTTTATTAACAAGGAGCCAAAAAGGACATGGGTGGGCTGGGGACACAGCAGAATGGGGACAGAAACCCACACGGTGTGCAGGGGACGGCTCAGGCATTATCCCTCCCTAACCCATCTCTCGGGGCAGTGGGGGCCCCGGGGCTGCCCCTCTCAGGCCGAGGTGCCGCTGCCCTCCATGGGGCCGAGGACGCATCCCGGAGCAGAGAGCCACATGCACGGGCCCCCTCCGACTCTCTCCGCACCCGGGGCCGTCCACAGCTGACGCCAATGTCCTGGCAGTACCTGGAGCTGGAGGAGACAGCAAGGGCCACCAGGGCAAGGGAGAAGGGAAGAGAAGGGACCTGCAGCCTGACCATACCCCCCTCAGAGCATCCCCACAGTTCGGGGTCGGCACTCCCCAGCCCCACAACCCAAGGTCCATAGAGGGCAGCTGTGGACCCTTCTAGGAGTGCAAGTTCCCCTCCCACCCCACCCCCAGCCCAGTCACCCCATGCCCTCCCCTCCTCCACAGGAGTCCTGCCCCAACCCCCAATATTCTAGCTAAAAACACAACCAAACCATGCAGAGCCCCATGTGCCCAACCAACCCTGCACATGCCCACCATGGCTGCTGCCCAGCTGGGGTGGGCTGCGGGTGAGACACAATCTGCACTTTGGTTGTCTCTGCCCGCCCGCCAAGATCGCCCACCTGCTGCCCTTCCCTTGCCCCATCTGCCCCTCCTCCTAGGCCCTGGGCCCCTCCTGCTGGAGACCCCCACGTGACACACCCAACTCTGAACCCTCCCTCTGAGGGCCTCAGGTTGCCCTGTGCACCTCCACCCCCCACTGTGTACTGGCTGGGTGAGGGCAGGCACCCCCAGAAAAAAGAGGGGCTGGGCCCTCAGCAGAGGTCAAAGGTGGTCCCAGAGGCAGTTTGGAGGGGCCTGGGTGGGGGTGGTGAGTGGAGGAGAGGCAGGAGGGGTAACCATCACCACGGCACCCCCCGCCCCGCCGTGCTGCCCCGTCCACCTGCCTCCCGCCTCACATCATAGACTCCTCCTCCTCCTCCTCGGCCATCTCGCGGTCCACCTCGATGGCGGTGTTCTCGAAGCTGGTGATGCCCCCATACTTGCGCATGTGCACCATCAGCGGCTTGGGCGACTGGCTCCCGGCCAGCGTGGCCACGTACATGCCCGTGCGGTTCTCCTCCAGCGACGGGCCCCAGTCCATGGCCGGCCGGCTGGCCTGCTGGAGTCGCTGCAGCACAGCAAGGCGGGCTGAAGCTCTGAGAGTGCTCCCTGCCTCCCCACAGGCCTTCTGGGGGTGCTCTCCAGTCCAAGACTCCTTCCAGGAGTGCTCCCTGCCTCCCCACAGGCCTTCTAGGAGTGCTCCCACCCTCATAGACCTTCCAGGAGTGCTCCCCACCCCCAAAGACCTTCCAGGAGTGATTCCCACCCCAAAGACCTTCCGGTAGTGCTCCCTACCCCCATAGACCTTCCAAGAGTGCTTCCCACCCCCACAGATCTTACGGGAGTGCTCCCCACTTCATATATCTTCCAGGAGTGCTCCTCACCCCCATAGACCTTCTGGGAGTGATTCCCACCCCAGGGACCTTCCAGGAGTGCTCCCCAAGCCCATAGACCTCCTGGGAGTGCTCCCCAGCCCAACAGGCCTTCCCGTGCTCCCGGGATTAATCCTGGGACACACCCTGGGGATGGTGCTAGTATCCTCAGGGCGCTGCCTCCCACCCTCAGAGACCATCCTGCTGCCACACGCTTGGAGGTATTTGGGGCACAGATTAGCTGCTGTTCCTTCTCTGCTGAGGACAGGTGCTGAGGACAGGCAAGGCCCATCAGAAGTGCTCCCGCCTCTGAGCTTCTGAGGCCCTACTCTGGGCCTCATCCCCCACGCTGAGCACAGAGGCACAGGGTCTCCCCAGGGAGAGGGACACAGCTTGGCTGCTCCCTGGCTGGTCTCTGCCTCAGTCTCCATGGAGGAGGGAGCTGGCTCAAGTGGGGGGTGCAGCCTGGCAGCCCGAGAGCACTTCCTTCTTCAAGCACATTCTCAAGACCCTGCCCTGCCCCCTCTTCTCCCACCCGCAACATGACTCAGCCACCTTAGGTGGCACCTTGGGGTGCAGATTCTGGGAGGGCCTCTGCAGGGCCTGAAGCCCAGGAACACAGAGCTCGGATACTCCCGGAGCCTGAGAATGCCTGCTCAGCGCCTCTGCCACGAGCCCTGCCATGCTCACTGCAGCCACCCGGATCCCTGCTCCAGCTCTGCTCAGTGGCCTGAATCCTGCCACTCTCCTCACACCGCCCCCCCACTGTGTCCCTTTGCCTCCCAACTCTCTCCAGGTCACCCCGTCCCTCAGGTCAGGTCTCTGTCACCATCTCAGAAAGCCTGACCAAAGCCTGGCCTCATCAGCTCTTTCTCTGCTTCTGCTTGGCTCTGCACAGCACACCCTGCCTGGGTCTGCACACCCTGCCTGGGTCTGCCTCTCGCCATTTCCTCTGTTAACATCCAGGCCCAAGAGCAAGGACTGGGGTCCGGAGCGATAGGCCAGAGGGGAGGGCATTTGGGGATGGAGCAATGGTACAGCAAGTGGGGCATTTGCCTTGCACGTGGCTGACCCAGGTTCAATTCCCAGTATCTCATATGGTCCCCTGAGCACCGCCAGGAGTTAATTCCTGAGTGCATGAGCCAGGAATAACCCCTGTGCAATGCTGGGTGTGACCCAAAAAGCAAAAAAAAAACAACCACAACAACAAAACAGAGGGGAGGGCAATTGCCTTGCATGTGGCTGACCTGGGTTCGATCCCCAGCATCCCATATAGTCCCCAAGCACCAACTGGGGTGATTCCTGAGTGCAGAGCCAGGAGTAACCCCTGAGCATTGCCAGGTGTGGTCCCCCAAAATAAAATAAAAAATTTAAAGAAAAAGAGCATGGACTGGGGTTGGTTTCCGGTACAGTAACCCCGGGAAGGGGTTTCTCACCTGCAGGTCGCTGACAGCAGGTGCCAGAGCTCTGCCACCTCTGTCCTCAGAACCAGGACTGCAGACAGGGCGGCACTCCCTGAGGGCACTGAGGACCCTGCCTCAGCTCGGGTTGCTGCCAGCTGTGCCCTGCCCCACCCTGACAGCTCAAGGCCTCGCACAGTCCATCTGCCCCTCCCCAGACAGCGCTTCCCTCCCCGTGGCCAGGCTGCTCTCCTCATCCAGCCCATGAAGAGCTGCTGGGCAGAGAGGGGGCTTCACTGCGTAGCAGAGCAGCAGGTGGACCCAGGACCCCCATGGCTACCCCCTGATGCTCCCCGTGCCCAGAAACACAGCCCAAGGGGAAGGGGAGGCCGAACGAAGCCGAAAATGAGCTTCTGGGGATGCGACCCCCCACTCAGCAGCCCCCTCTCCTGCTCTCGTGAAATAGATGGGGGAGGGGAGAGGAGGAGGTGCAGAGACAGGAAGGGGCTGCGTGTCAAACAGCAGACGGGGACAGACAGACAGGGAAGCCTCAGGGGCGCAGGGACGGACTTGCAGGCAGGAAGAGAGCAGACTGTAGGGGTCAGGTCGGGGCAGGCTGGAGGCGGGGTATGGGGTTCTCAGAGTGTGACTCTATACACATGCCAGTGTCAGCTCTCAGAGGTTTCGTGGGCCACCATGCCTCTGAGGAGTGACCACCAGGGCTAGAGGGTCACAGGAGCTCCGAGGGCCTGTTGGGGTGGGGGTGCATGAGAAGCATGAAGTCTGTGGGCTGACGGGAGGTGCGGTTCCGTGCGAGGTGTAGGGTGTGTTGGGAGTATAGGGGTGCATGTTGGGGGTATCACTGTCTCACTGTCATCCTGTTTTCATTGATTTCCTCGAGCAGGCACCAGTAACGTCTCCTTTGTCCCAGCCCCAAGATTTTAGAAAGTGCCACATTCGAGGCTCTTTCAGGGTCAGGGAATGAGATCCCTCATTGTTACCGGTTTTTGGCATATTGAATATGCCACAGGGAGTTTGCCAGACTCTGCCATGCGGGCAGGATACTTTTGGTAGCCTGCCAGGTTCTCCAGAGGAAGAACTAGATAATAAGATGTCATGTTGGGGGTGTGTGGGTATATATTGGGCTGTGAGGGGGTGTTCAGAGGTGTGTGTGGGGACAGTAGGGGTGTATTCCAGGTGGGAAGCTGTGAAGGGATATGAGGGTACACTGGGACTTCAGGGGTGTTAGGGGTATATGGGAGTATGCGGGGTATGTTGAGTGTGGGACTGTATAGGCGTGTGTGGGGGGGGTAGGGGTGCTCAGTCTCTCCTGCAGGCCAGGCTCACTTAGCACCCCTCACTGTGGGGGTCCCTGAGGCCCAGAGCGAGCCAGGGTCTCTGTGGGCTTGCGCTCGGGTGCCAGTGTGTCCCTCTGGCCAGAGCTCACATTGTCACCCCACCCTCTCCAGCTCACTGACTCCCACCGACTTCTGGTCAGGGCGCGGGTGCTGGGGTTAGGTCTGGCCCTGGCCCAGCTCCCTCCCTTGTCCACTCAAGTGTCTCCAAGACTTGTGGACACTGGCCAGTGTTGATGTCCTCAGAGGGTGTCCCTCCCCAGCCAGAAGGAGGGAGGATAGAGTCCATCCCACAGGACAGACTCGGGCACCCCCGCCTCACCCCCATGCAGGCCTGAGCCCACGTGGAGCTCGGGGGACGGGCTGCAAAAACGGCTGCAGGGCCTGAGTGAGGATCTGGTGGGGTGGGAGAGCCCTGGTGGGGGGAGAGGGGACAGGACAGACAGACAGACAGACAGACAAGAGACAGATGGATGGACTCACCTCCCCGAGCGAGCCCTCCTCTCAGCACAGCCACCAGCATGCCGGCCGGGGTCATGAGGCAGGACAGACAGACAGACGGACGGACGGACGGGCAGACTCACCTCCCAGAGCGAGCCCTCCTCTCGCAGCACAGCCACCAGCATGCCGGCCGGGATCATGAGGCAGGACAGCAGCCCCATGAGGATGCCCAGCAGCTCGGCCCAGGCGGGGAAGCGGTAGTTGCCGTACTCGGACGGCTGGTACTTGACGATGCTGTACACCAGCAGAGCCTGCGGGCAGGGGCTCCCACACTCACGGGGGGGCTCTGCACCCTGCCCAGAACCTGCCACTCCAGCGCCTGGCACGGGCCCTGCTCCCCGAGGACCCCACCTCGAGGTAGGGGACAGACTTGCTTCAAAAGCACCTGGTGGACTCCCGAGACAGGATCTTTGGAGCCGTGCCAAGCGCTGGGCAGAGCAAACTGGGGAATGTCCCCCACCCCCACCCTGATTGGTCAGCAGTGCAACCAGATGCAGGGTCGACAAACCCGCGGGGTGTCTCGGGACTGGGAGAGCAGGTCCTGACTTGTGCCCCACCCCCAGGCCCTGCCTGCCGTTACCAGGAGCGTGGCCGGCGACAGGAACAGCCAGCAGGCCCTGAAGTAGAGGCCCGGTTTGAAGCCCAGCATCATGTGGATGTCCCTGCAGAACCTCTGGATGCCTGTGTGGGAGGGAGAAGGGCCACACGGAGCTCCCGGGTGGGCGGGGACCCAGGGCAGGACCTCCCAGGACCCTCCCACTCCGGAGCCCGGCTCACCATACACTCGGGTGACCGCAAGGCATGTGGTGATCACCACCACCATGAGCCCAAAGCTGGCGCTGTAGTCATCCAGAAGCACGAGCCAGTACATGCCCCCCTGGTATGAGACACAGAGCTGGGCCCCGGGCATCTCAGCAGCATCCCCCCAACCTCCAGATGGGGTGACCCCTGGGTGGGAGGGACAGTAGGCCCTGGGGAGGTCACTCAGCAAGGGCACGGGCCTCGGGGACTCAAAAGCCAGGACTAGGGTGAGGGTCTGGGGGGAGAGGCCAGGCCTGGAGTCACCCTGGCTGCAGACCCCCACAGCAGGCATCTCCTGCCCTGCCGTCCAGAGCGCCACTCACATCAGTGGTGAGGACCAGCCCCATCAGGTACATGGACACGCAGATGAGCCCCGAGAACACAGCCTTCTTGGGCCGCAGGTAATAGGGGAATTCGTCTGTCACAGCTGTCACGATGGTCTCCAGAAAGGCAAACTGGTGGGGTGGGGATGGGAGGGAACGATGTGACGGAGTCCTGCTCCATGCATTGACACACAGCACACACACACACACACACACACGCACGCACGCACGCATGCACAGACACACAGTACCACATCTCACACAGTACACACAAGCGCGCGCGCACATGCACACAGACACCCAGTCCCATATCTCACACAGCACACACACATACACGCACACACAGACAGGCAGTGCCACATCTCACACAGCATGCACACACACACACACACACACACACACACACAGACACACCAGTCCCTCATCTCACGCAGCACACACATACACATACATGCATGCATAGACACTCAGTACCACATCTCACACAGCACACACACACAGACACACTGTCCCACATCTCACACATTACACACACACACACACACACATGCACACAGTCCACACACATGCATAGACACAGACACACGTGCACAGACACACAGTCCCACATCTCGCAAAGTACATATATACACACGCGCGCACACACACACACACACAGTCCCAGATCTCACACAGCACACACACATACATGCATAAACATACATAATGCGCACACACACGCACACGGTCCCACATCTCACACAGCACGCACACACATGCACAGACACGCATGCCTCACCCCCACACCCCCACAGCAGTGCGGACGAGGCCCACCTGGCTGTCCAAGCCGAGGGTCAGCAGCATGAAGAAGAAGAGGAAGGACCAGAAAGGGGCCAGTGGCAGCATGGTCATGGCCTGTGGGTACACAACAAAGGCCAGGCCAGGGCCTGCCCCCAGGGCACACGGTGTCAGCAGCCAGGCATGCACACATGCACCCCCCCCATACACACACATGCACACACACACACACACACACACACACACACACACACACTGGTGCCCCTCAGGCACACAGGTTTAGGCAAACTCAGAGGGGCCCGACAGCACACTCTCCTCTCTTGACTCATGCTCCTAAGACACGAGTCACATGCTCACACACCAATACAAGGCCCAGGACAGTCTGCACTTGAATACGGTGCTACAAAAGTATCACTCCAGCCGTTACATGCAAGAACCCTGCCTGCACATCTGCTAGGGACGGGGCTCTCGGACAAACAGGAAGCCACGCAGATGTGGCGACTCACGAGCGAGGGGTCAGAGAAGAGAGAAGCGTGCACAGAAGCACGACCTGCACATGTGGACAACCCGGGCCCTCACTGGCTCGCTGACCAGCCCTCACCCCTGGGTACCCAGCACCCTGCACACCTGCTTTGGCCACTTGGTCCACAGGCACGTCCAGCTCCTGGGACATGTAGCCCAGCACGGAGAAGATGGCGAAGCCCGCCAGGATGCTGGTGATGGCGTTGCCCAGGGTGACGATGAAAGTGTCTCTGCGGCAGGTAGGCGCACAGGCCAGGTGAGGCCCCTTGCACCCGACACTCCCTCCCTCTCCCCCCACCGCCCCCGTCTGAAGGCTGTGCTCACCGGTAGATGTTCTGGTGAAACGTGTTGTAGGAGGCAAAGGTGAGGAGCCCCCCGAAGCCCACACCCAGGGAGTAGAATATCTGAAGAGCAGCTTCAATCCACACCTAGGGGCAGGGGGCTTGGTCACAAGCTCCAGCCCTCCAGAACCTGAGTGATCGCTGAACTGGGCCCAGTTCTGAAGGAGCCAGCACCTCACATACCACCCATGGGTTCATGTCGATGGGGAGCCCATGGGAGCTCTCGCCCTCCTCCCCAAATTTGGGGGGCCTGGGACCCCCGCTATGTAGCCTTCACAAGCCAGGTGTCCAGCCTGCCCCCTTCACTAATCACTAATCACTAATCACTAATATGGAAAGTGATGGGGAAAGCATGTTCTGCCAGGGAGGGGTTAAACGACTGTGGCCATGCCAGCACCCCTGTGGTTACTGGGGCCCTCAGGGGTTGAGACAGACCTACCTGGACTCCCCCCAAACCCCCCACCCCCCATCCCGGATCTCCCTGCTGTGTGACCTTAAGCTCCTGCTGGGCCCTTAGGGGCTCTGCTTCTTCCCTCCCCAGGAAGGAGAGCTGTGTCTGCTTCCCTGGCTCTGCATAGTGCTGGGTACTAGGGTGAGCTTGGGGGCGATCCCCAGTCTGCCTGCCCTCCCTGTGCCCGCCTCACCTTGGAAGACAGGAGGTGGTGGAACTGGGGGGTGAGATAGAACTGGATGCCCTTCCAGGCCCCCGGGAGCGTGACCCCGCGAACCAGCAGCATGAGCAGGATGAGGTAGGGGAATGTGGCCGTGAAATACACCACCTGCGGTGGGGGCGCATAGAGGGCCGTCACCCCTCGCACTCCATGCCACTCACCAGAGCCCCACCCCACCCCACTCTGCAGCTCCCCTGAGGGTTCTCCCATGTTCCAGGTGCCCCCTGCCTGCCCTGCAAACCCACCTTGAGTGACCGTGGATGTCTGGAAGGTCTTGCCTGCTTCCCTCTGTGCAAACGTCCTGCCACCACCCGAGCTCTCCCTGTCCCCTTCATCACCACCTCTTCTTGCCTTCTTTTTGCTTGCTTGTTTGTTTTTTTGGGGGGCCACACCTGGCAATGCTCGGGGGTTACTCCTGGCTTTGCACTCAGGAAAGACTCCTGGTGGTGCTTGGGGACCATATGCAATGCCGAGAACCAAACCTGGGTCGGCCATGTGAAAGGCACACGCCCTCCCCTCTATGCTCTCTCTCCGGCCCTTCTCCTCACCATCTAGCTGCTTCCGCCCCGTCTCTCTAGTCTTTCCACACAGATGCTTCTCTGCAGAGGGACACACTCTAATTCATGAGTGAGGAGAGAAGTCCTGCAGGTTTCCTAGTCCTTGCCGAGCCTCTGGGTGACTGAAACGTGCACCCATGGCTCTGGTTGCCCCCGCTCTGCAGTGACGCCCTGCAGAGGACAGGCCCAGCCCAGGGTGCTCTCCACCTTCTAGGCCACTAGGCAGACTCCGTTCTAGAATGTCTGCAAACTGGGGAAAGTTAAGATCCTTCTCTAAGCAGGAGCACCTGCAGTGGCTAGCGGCAACCTCCATGAAGCATGAAGCCTGGAAGGAGCCAACACTGGGAAAAGAGCTGCTGGAAGACCAAGAAAACCACATCCTGATAAACCAACAAATCCCCTTGACCGAGCTGGGCCTGAAGCCCACCCTCCTCACTTCCCCACTGCGCATGGACACTGGCTGAAAGGGTCTGACGATAGTTACCCTCCAAGCATTCAACACACTTGCTTTGGCCTCTTTAGAGTGGCAGGCTCATTTTTAGATTCCTTTTTTTTTTTTTTTTTTTTTTTTTTTGCTTTTTGGGTCACACCCAGTGATGCACAGGGGTTATTCCTGGCTCTGCACTCAGGAGTTACTCCTGGTGGTGCTCAGAGGACCACATGGGATGCCGGGAATCAAACCTGGGTTAGCCGCGTGCAAGGCAAATGCTCTACCTGCTGTGCTATCTCTCCAGCCCCAGGCTAATTTTTAAAGTTTCTTTTTTTTTTTTTTTTGCTTTTTGGGTCACACCCAGCAATGCACAGGGGTTACTCCTGGCTCTGCACTCAAGAGTTACTCCTGGCAGTGCTCAGGAGACCATATGGAATGCTGGGAATCGGACCCAGGTCGCTGCATACAAGGCAAACAGCCTACCCGCTGTGCTATCTCTCCAGACCCTAAAGATTCCATCTTAAATAACAATGGATCCTTCTTTTGGGACCTTTAGAGTCTAGTGAGCCAACCTAGCCGGTGTGTCCCTGCCCTCACCTCCTTCTCCAGGCCCCCCCCCCATGCCTGAATCTTCTTGTCTTCCCCTTCTCACTCCAGCCAAACTCTGTACCCCTGACCACCACCCAGCTCAGACCCCACCCCGCCATCCCCGTGTTCCACTCCCAGCATCATCACCTTGCCCGAGGACTTCACTCCCTTGAGGATGCAGAGGAACACGATGACCCAGGCGAGAAGCAGGCAGAGGCAGAGGTTCCAGCGGATTTCACCAGGGCTGCCGATGCCCCGGCTGCCTTGGATGTGCAGGACATAGCGGCTGCAGAGGGAGACAGAGTCTGAGTGAGCGTGGGGCCTACCCCAGTGGCACTCAGCTCCGCCCTGAGGCTGGTACCCGGAATCTGTGTGGAGCTGGGGCTTGCTGTGTGCTCCCTCACATTGCTGGGTCCCTCACTCTTCCTATGCTATCCTAGCCAACAGAGACAAAGGGCTCTCCCTATGCATAGAGCTGTGCTGCGTCAGTGCTTATAAAATAGTGAATGAGCGGAGAGAGGCCTGAGAGGTCAGAGCTTCCAGGAGACTGGCCCCCAAGCTCCCGTGTCCTCTGTCTTCATGCTCCTCTGTGCCAGGAGCACCAGAAGCACTGATTCGGGCACTCACTACCAACCAGGCCACAGCAACATTTATTGGCATGCCTGCTGCTTTCCTTTGGAAATCACGCCACCACTCCCACATCAAAGAAGAGGCCAAACATATCATCAAAAGGCCCAGGAACAGCCAGTGTTGGTGGGTCTGTGATGGGAAAGGAGCCCTCTCACCCCCAATGCCAGGGGGATGTCAGCCTAAATGGAAAGCAACACAGAGATCCTTCCAAAAATTGGGACTAGAACTGCCATGTGACCCAAAAATATAACTCACTAGCACCTATCCTCCAGACCCAACAGCATTAATTTAAAATTATGCAATGAACGGGGCTAGAGTGAGAAAATCGCGGGTAGAGCATTTGCCTTGCACGTGGCCAGGCCAGGGCTTAATTCCCAGCATCCCATATGGTCCTCCAAAGCACCTTCAGGAACAACTCCTGAGTGCAGAGCCAGGAGTAACCCCTGAGCATCACTGGGTGTGACCCAAAAAGCAAAAACAAACAAACAAAAATAAATAAAATTATGTGATGAACACACCTAGGTTCATTACCGCACTTAGTACAAGATCTGGGAACAGCTCATAAACCCAACTCCAGATGAATGGATCAAGAACGACGCAACTCTGAGGAAGAACAAAAGCATGCAATTCACAGCACACAGAACTGGAGGACATCATGCTGAGTGAAGTGAGTCAGAAAGGAAAGGGATAGATACAGAACCATCTCTCTCATAGGAAACACACAGCAAGGTAGCAACACAGCGCCCAAAGAGACATAATGAGATGGGGCTGAGGGTGCTTTCAGAGGGAAAGTCCTTGGGGGAGGGAGGTGAGAAGACTGGCGAGGGGTGTATATGCATGAGAAACATTTATTAACAGTATTAGAGGGCCGGAGTGATACTACAGTGGGAAGGGCATTTGCCTTTCCATGTGGCCAATCCAGGTTTGATCCCCGGCATCCCATATGGTCCCCCAAACATTGCCAGGACTCATTCCTGAGTGCAGAGCCAGGAGTAACCCTGAGCATCGCTGGGTGTGACCCCAAAAGAAAAACAAACAAACAAAAAAACACACAACAACAGTATTGTAAACCACAACATCTCAATCAACAACAACAAAAAAAATTTTTTTTAGAAGAAGCCTAATAAATAGTTCAAGGTCTCACACGGCTGTTCAGGTCAGAGTCCAAGTCCATCCGCCCCGACCCCCTGCGCTGACCCCTGCACAGCGGCCTGCTGCCCTGACCTCCAGTACTCCTCGCTGGGGCTGACGGTGCTGCTGAGGTTGAGGGCCAGGGCCCCATTGCCGCCCCGGTGCTCCCGGCAGAGGTCCGTGTTCCACCAGTTGCCGCAGTGCTCCCAAGGCAGGTTACTGGTGAGGGAGGCGAAGAGGTAGAAGAGGACGTAGGCGATGATCATGTTGTAGTAGATAGCCACCAGGCCTACGATGAGCAGCATGGCCGCACCGGCACCTGGGGAGAGAGGGCCTCAGGCCTCTGGAGGACACCCCCCCCCACTCTGCCGGAGGCCACAGGAAGGAGTGGGGGGGTCACGGGCTGAGGCCTCACCTTTGAAGAGCGGGCTGAATTTCCACACAGCCAGCGGCCCCAGGCTGGAGAACTGGCCCAGAGAGAGCTCCAGGAAGAAGAGAGGGATGCCGCAGATAGCCAGCATGAGGAAGTAGGGTACGAGGAAAGCACCTGTGGGCAGGCACAGCGGGACGGGCAGGGCTGCGACCCCACACCTGCCCCCCAGACGTCCCAACCTGAAGGGAACCTGGCGAGGGGTTCCTCTTCTTTCATACCAGGAAACCCCTGAGGGCCAAGCCTGGGGTATGCGGATCACTCATGCCCCCCACCCCTCCACACACAGACACACAGACACATACACACACACACATACACACACACACACACATACACACACACACATAGCCTCACACCTCACACCCAGACCAGCACTGGCTGCCGAGTGAAGCATAAAGGAGCCAATGAATTAATACGTGAATTCCTTGCCCCCTCAGCACACGCACGGCCTTCAGAACAGGGCTCCAGTTCACCTGTCTCTCTCTTGCTCTCCCCACTGTCTGCTGCCCAGATAATTCTTCTGCCTTCTCCCCACTTGCTCACAAGTCCCAGCCAGGCTGCTGAGGGACCTGACATTCCCCCCCCCACACACACACACCCAATTCTATCCAGATTCACGCAGACAGTGGCAGCACACAGCCTCCTCAGGACAGAGAGGATTAGTGCAGGGGGCGGTGTGGGGAGAGGGGAGCCGAGGAACATGAGCAGGGAAGCCCATTCAGAAACCAGCTCCAGCCCCCCAGTGCGGGTCTTCCCAGCTTCATCTGCTTCTTTCTGAATTCCTAGTGTGTAGTGAGCTCGGGAGACATGGAGGGGAGCTAGGGGCACACGGTGGCTCTGGAGAAGAGGTTCTGGGGTGGCCTGTGGACACAGCCACCCTGTGACCATGGGAAAGGAGCCTGATCCCACCAGGTTCCATGTCCTTATCCAGACAAGAGTCCCTGACTCTCACCCCTGCTGTCATCAGGGCATGGAGGGTCCAGCCCAGGTAAGTGTTCAGCCCACCTGGTGAGAGACCAGAAACCAAGATTCACAGGAGAGTTGGGGCCACAGAGGCCGGCTAAGAAGGGAGGAAGGAGGCTGGAGCGATAGTACAGTGGGGAGGCCGCTTGCCTAGGGCTAACCTGGGCTCCATCCCCCCATTCCATGTGGTTTCCTGAGCCCGCCAGCAGTGATTCCTGAGTGAAGAGCCAGGAATAAGGCAGGGCCCAGGAAATGCCCATCTAGGGGCGAGAACATTGTGGGTCTCCATAGGAGAGGACAGGGGCGGAGGAGCCTGGCTGTACCCCCCTTCAGATGCCCCTGAGGGTGAGCTCCCTCTTCCAGCCCTAGGGTCCTAGGAATTGCCCAAGTCCTCACAGGAGTGGCCAGCAGCCAAAGTCTCAAGACTTCAGTGGGCACTGGCCCAGGCCCTGGACACCCCTTGGGCAGACCCGGGTGCCACACCTACCTCCTCCATTGGTGTAGGCGCGGTAGGGGAAGCGCCAAACATTACCCAGACCCACGCAGTAGCCGATGCATGACAGCAGGAAGTCCAGTTTGCCTGTCCAGTTCCCCCGGTCTGCAGCAAAGTCCACGTCCAGGTCCACATCACCCTGGTCGCTGGGTGTCATCAGCAGGTCTGGGGTGACCGGCTGCCAGGGAGAGACAAAGAGGTGAGTGGGAAAAGTGAAGCCTGGTTGAAACCATGACCCGCTACTGCCAAACAAGAATGGAAATTGAACAAGGGAGACAGGGAGATGTGGAGTATGGGCTCAAAAACTAACAGCACTCCTGGTGAGCAGCAGCATATGTGGGTGTGGCCTGGGGGGCAACAATGTAACAGAATTAGCAGGTAGCCTGGGTTTGGGGGACAACAGTGTAACAGAATCAGCAGGTAGTCTAGGTTTAGGGAGGCAACAATGTACAGGGTCAGCAGATAGCCTGGGTTTAGGGGGTAACAATGTAACAAGTCAGCAGGTAGCCTGGGGTTTTGGGGCAACAATGTAACAGAATCAGCAGGTGGCCTGGGTTTGGGGGGCAACAATGTAACAGAGTCAGAAGGTAGTCTGAGGCTTGGGGGGCAACTATGTAACAGTCAGCAGATAGCCTGGAGTTTTTTTGGGGGGGGGCAACAGTCTGGGTTTACAGAGGCAACAATGTAACGGTGAGCAGATAGCCTGGGTTTAGGGAGTCAACAATGTAACAAGGTCAGCAGGTGGCCAGGGGTGGGGGGGCAACAATGTAACAGGGTCAGCAGATAGCCTGGATTTAGGGAGGCAACAATGTAACAGGGTCAGCAGATAGCCAGGGGCTTGGGGGGGGGGCAACGATTTAACAGGGTCAGCAGGGGCCTCATCACTAAGAACAGTTGCTTTGGGGGTCAGGGAGAAAGAACAGGAGTTAAGATGCGCAGGGCCCTGGTTCAAACTCTGGCATCACATGGTCCCCTGAGCCCACCAGGGTTAAATCCTGCAGGTCCAATGAGCACAGCTGGGTTTGGCCCGATTGGTCCCCACCACCACAGAGTCCTAGCACTAACCACTGAAATGTCCAACCTATTTGTTGAAGAATTGCCAGGACAGCTTCTGGAGGCCCTTGAGAATTTTTTGGGAGACCCCTGCAACCCCGAAAAAAAGAAAACAATCTGCCTTGATCTTAGTTTGGTGCATACAGAGGCCCAATGGAAGGATGGTCTTGATGGCAATGATAAGATAATAATGGCAGTGGTGGTAGTGGTGATGACTGATGAGCACAGTCTCTGCTCAGAGGTCCAACTCACTCTCAGAACAACCCAACTGAGCAAAGGAGCTGCTGCACTCGCTCCGATGATGGTGAGTCTGCGGCTCCCAGAGGGAGCAGGCAGAGGGGAGAGCTCGCACCCCAGCCTGGCCTCTGTCTTGCCCCAGCCCACGTCTTCAGCCTCCACGTGCTGTCTTGCTGCCATGCTTTTTTTTTTTTTTAAGATCACACATGGTGGTGCACAAGGGTTACTCCTGGCTTCGCACACAGAAATTACTCCTGGCCATGCTTGGCGGAGCATATGGGAAGCTGGGAATCAAACCCGGGTTGGCCGCATGCAAAGCAAATGCCCTACCCACTGTACTATTGCTCCAGCCTTGCTGCCACATTTTAAGAAGGGCAAAGACAGGTGGAGCATGTCGAGAGGAGAGGAGGCCAGATGGAAGGTGCTTCCCGGGAACAGGAGGGAGGGGAGTGGGGTCATGACACCAAAAGGAGAGCCTCTGGGGGACCATGGGCCTCAGGAGGGAAGGCTTAGACTCCAATTCAACAAGGTCTCTGGCTTAGGTCTTGGGCAGCAGGAAGCTCAGAAGCCCTGACAGGTCTCAAAAAGAGCCCTGATGGATGTGGCCCCTGGCACAGAGGGAAACTGGCCGGGAGCTCCATCTGGCCTCCTCTCCTCAGGAGCCTGGCCCCAGGACTGTGTGTTGGCATGTCCACGGTTGTCTGGGTGGAGGGCCTGGCCAGCAGCCACAGCTACCAGGACTGTCTGGACCTCAGAGCCAAGCTCAGCAAGTCACTCCAGGAAAGAATCTGGACTGGGGAAGGAGCAGTCACACCATCCTGCCTATCCCTGAGATGCCAGCTCCTGGTGGTGTAGACACAGTAGGCCCCAACACTCAGGCAGGACCCTGTGCCCCATCAGCAAGACCCCAGGCTGGGAAGCAGGACATGGATACTCGAGTCCCTGGCTGGCTCAGAGCACTGGGCCGCTCCAGCGAGGAGTCCTCTGAGCCACGGTTACCCCAGAGGATACTGTGCACATCGGGTGTACCAGTGTTCCCAAAAACACATTGTGTGGGGTGTTGTTGCATGTCAGTGGAAATGAAGATCCACTCAGAAGATTGAGGAACACTGGGTTAACACAATCAAACAGTCTCTGCTGCAGGATGGACTCTCACGGACCGGGGCCCACCATTCTCCAAAAAGGACTTGGAACAGCCTATGTTCTCCAGTTCTAGCTTTAAAAGGGCCCGCGGGGGAGAGACAGTACATGGGCATGGCATTTTGGCTTGCATGCAGCCAACCTGAGTTTTATCCTTGGTACCCCATAGAGTCCCCTAAGAACTGCCAGGAGTGCTCCCTAAATGCAGTCAGGAGTAAGCCCTGAGCATTGCCAGATTTGACCCCAAACCCAAAATAAGTGAAAAGGTCGGGGGCTAGAGAGATAATGCAAGGGTAAACTTTGCTCTGCACATGTTCCCAGACACCACATACAGTTCCCCAATCCCTGCCAGGAGGAAGTCTTGAACACTGTCAGGTGTGGCCCAAACCTCCCTCCCCTCCCAAACAGCTGCAGTGAACTTAGACCATCTACAGTAGCTGTGGGGAAAAGGTCATGAAAGAAATGCCCCTGGAAGGGCTGGAGAGAGTACAGCAGGTAAGGTGCCTGTCTTGCAAGTGGCCAACCCAGGTTTGTTCCTGGGCATCCCATATGGTCGATCCCCTGAGGGTTGCCAGGAATGATCCCTGAGTGCACAGCCAGCAGTAAGTTCTAAGCACCGCTGGGTGTGGCCCTAAAACAAACAAATAAAGAAGAAATATCCCTGGGGACACTGGCAGCAATTGGGGACCAGACCAGACTCTCACACAGGGACTTAGCAGCTAGATCAGGCTTTTCTCTAATGCCACCCTCCGCCATGGCAGGAGAGGCTGTGCGGGGCCCGGGCATGGAGCCAGGAGGGAGATGAGAGAGAACAAATCAGAGGACAAGGGGGTCCATAGTAAGGGGCGGGATAGGCGGGTCAGGATGGGTGACAGTCGGCTGACTCCCACTGACAGTGACAATCAAGGGGGGCATCCTGCTGACTTCCGAGTTGTGACGAGGGGGACAGCCTGGCACGACATTGGATGATGGTGACTGTGACGAAGAGCATGAAAAAGCTGGTTTCAAAATCACTGTGCTGCAAGGCTCGGAGTGATTATATGTCAGTCCCGAGTGGTGATCGCAGGGGTGCAGAGGGAAGAGGAGGGGACAGCAGTTCCCACGTCTCTCAGCCCTCTCAGCCCATCCCCCAGGTCTTTCTCCAGCTGGGTGAGCGTCAGTACCCTGGAAAAACCCAGGTGGGCCCCTGAAAGCCCTGTCACTCTGCGACCCCAGCCCCATTTGTGCCAGCTGGCAGGAGGGCCCAGAAATGATGCTCCTCTGATCCCTCGGAGGAGAGACGCGGCTGCCCTTTCTCTGCTGGCAGAGCAGGTCCCTCTGTTTCCATGGTGACAAGAGTTCCCAGAGCAGGATGCTGCTAGTTCTTCTGTCCCCTCACCCCCAATCACAGGGCAGCCGGCTCCTCCCCAGGTCAGGATACTGGGGTCCTCCAAAGCTGAGCTCATCTAAACCCCAGGCGGTTCCCAGAACCCTCCCCTCACTGGATGAGCCCCAGGAAGTGGGCATGGACAGGATGAAGGGCAGGGCTGGAAACCTGGGGGAGTTTCCCCAGCAGGAGTCACACCGGATCATGGGCCCCATCTGTACCCCCCTCCTAGGAACCAATGGAAGGACCTGGGAGACAGAGTCCTATGGTAAGGCCCTCAACCTTCACCAGGGTGAGCAAGACCAGGCTTCTGGGTCCAAATTCCTCATTGTACAGACTGAAACAGAGCTATGGGGAGGGGTGGGGAGGAAGGAGCCCGGGGCTGTGTCTCTCTCAGTGAGTTCCCCTGCCTGGACTGGACAAACCAGGGAGGGCAGGCAGGCCCATGTCCCCCATGTTGGTCCTAAGAGGCTGCACCCCTCTATGTCTTGATTTTCTGTTCTATCTAGTGGGGGTGACAATGCCCCCATTAAATTGTTGGAAGATTACATGACCAAAGGCTTTACCAAAAAAGCCAGGCAAACCCCTAATGTGTGGTCCAGAGTGGGGAGGTGGGGGGGAGGAAGGGTAGGAAGGGTAACAGGGAGCAGGTTCCTGGACACCTGAGAGCTTCATAAATGATCGCCAAAGTCACTCAGGTCAGTGAATTACAAATTCTTTAGGGGTGGGAGAGAGTATCGCAGGTAAGGTGCTGGCCTTGCACATGGCTGACCAGGGTTCAAACCCCAGCATTGCATAGGGTCCCCCAATATTATCAGGAGTGATCCCTGAGCATATAGCTATAACTCTCTCGCTGCTTGGGGGAGAGGGGGGGCTCAGGAGATCTAATGCCCCCCAGGGTGGCAGGGCTGCTCTGGTGCCCACACTCAGACCAGCCCAGCCCGAAGTCACAGAGTGGGTGGCATCTACAGAAACTGCACCCAAGGGTCCCCACTCCTTAGCCAGACCGGGTACTCTGAAGTCACATGCCAGAGACTGCCTCCAATGTTATCCCTCCCACCCAGCTAGGCTGGGGGTCCAGCTCATTGGTGGGAGAGCTGAGCTCTTCCCCCCCCCCCCCCCACACACACACACTCAGGTCTGACCAGCTCTTCTGCCCCACCCCCATGGTGTTGGGTCCCCTCCTCTCACCTTCCCTGTCTTTGCCCTTCAGGGCTTTGCTGGGGTCCCAGCAGGGAGTGTTGGGGGGAGGGTGTTACAGCTACCTGGCCAGAGAAGGGGGTGGAAGGAAGCTGGCTCCCAGGGCAACCCCGCAGCAGCCAGGACCCCTCTGTTGGCCCCCTGGGGGCTGCACCAACGGGTAAAGATGTGGGCCAGATCCGGTGCCCCCGCCCCCGCGGGCAGCCTCCCCTCGGGGGGAAGGAGCGGGCACGCTGAGGAGGGGTGCCTCCTGGGACCACGGACACCTGTTCCTGGGCCTGGTCCCTCACCCCTACATGGCGACCCCCAGACAGGGAGCGGGGTGAGACTGGCTGAGGTGGGGGCTCCCCGAGACCCCGCCCCTCCCTGCAATCTGCTCACGGTTTCTGTGCACCCTGAGAGGGGCTGGGTCTCCTCGTTTCCCCCCTCCCGGCCTCGCCCGCCGCGATGGGGATGGGTGCTGGGGGAGGGGGAGGGCAGGGCCGCGCCCGGCCCTCCCTCAGGTGCGCCCTACCTTGCGGAGGTGAGCGCCCTGGAGCTTCTTCATCCTGGAGGGCGGGCGCCCGGCTGGTCTCCGGGCTTGGCCGGGGCGCCGAGAGCGAGCGAGGCGCGGGGAGAAGCGGCCGCGCCTTGGCCCCGGCTGCGGGCTGGGGGCGCGGGCGCGGGCGCTGCCGTCTCGGCGGGGCTGCGGGAGCGGGGCGCGGGGAGGGGCTGCACGGCTGCGCCCGCCGAGACTCGCCGAGACTCGCAGACGGACGGCGCGGGATGGACCGCGGGGGGGAGGGGGGATGCGTGCGCCCCCGCACGCAGAGCTGCGGATTGGAGGGGCCGGAGCGCGGGAGGTGGGGGGGGGGGTGTCCGCGACGGAGACGCGGGAGGTCTGGAGGCCCTGGCCACCACCGGCTTCTGTGTGACCTTGGGCAAGTAACCTGCCCTCTCGGGTCTCCCTGTCGCCCGTTGGGCTTGAGACAGGTAGGCCCTGGCGTGGACACTGTCTGCACGGGGCGGGGGCGGGGGGGTGGGGGCCGGGGAGCAGGGACTTGGTTCTCAGCACCCCTATGTCCGCCTCTCTTCACTGTGTGACCTTGCCTGCTGTGACCAAGCTCCGGGGCCACTTCTTCATCTGCAAAATGGACAGAAGCAGCTCAAACTCCTTTCAGGGACAAAGCTTGTGTGCAGAAAACCATTTTGCCTGTGGTTAAATACAGCATTTACTGACAGATCGTGTGGCTGAGGGTTGCTCTGGCTGTCCACGGAAGGACAAGGGCATGCATCAACCAGGACACTGTCTAGAGCACGTAGAGGCACAGCCTGGGCAGGGCTTGTGAGCACTGCGCAGTGAGCAGGAGAGATGGAGCACTTAGCCGCATGCAGATGAGGAAGCTGAGGGGCTGTTGCTCACTCCGGGCTGCAGAGCTAACCTGACTGGCTCTGCATTGTGTGGCCTCAGGGACCTGCCTAGCTGGGGAGGTCCTAGTCATGCCTATTCTGGGAGGATGGGCTGGGAGTTCGGGAAAGGAGGAGTTGTGACACATTTTGGCCCAGGTTTCTGGCCCCACCTCAGGAAGGTTATAATTTTGTGTCTGTGCCGTGACAACTAGCAGGCCCATGCCTTACTGACCTGTCAGCGTGTGGACAGGGGCTGGGGAGGCTGAGATGGGAAATGATTAGCTAGGGCAATCGTTTGCAAGGGCTGATGGGAAGGAACCAGGATGTGCACCTGGAACTAGGCTATGTTGCCAGGCATGTTAGGAAGCAGGCTCCTTCCTTCCCTCAGTCCAAAGGGTCACCCTCCATCAACCAACAGCAGGCCTGGGGGAAGATGAGGGTGAGATGAGGGTTCCTAGCCCTTTCCTCCGTGGCTCCAGAAAGGAGCTGCAGAGAATTAGGTGGAAGCTTGACTAAGACCTGCCAGTCCCAGGTCCCCACACTCCTTGGTGCCACTAGCTGCTCTCTCCCTCAGGGAGGACCAGGGACTCTCCCAGGGAGGAAATCTTTCTTTGCTCCCTATCACTGCATTCCAAGGTCCAACTCTTCAACTCTTTCCAGTAGTGTGGAGAGACGAGTGGGGGCCTCTCACTCTGCACCTGAGAAAACTGCCTCAGAGGGCGAAAGCCACATGCTCTGACAGCCTGTGACCTCTTCCAAATGTCGCCTAGGACAGGGACAGTTTAGCCTTGCTGAACTCCTCCCTGGAGTTGGTGGGTGGGTGTCCTTCATTAAACCCTATGGAGGGGCTGGAATGATAGCACAGCGGGTAGGGCATTTGCCTTGCACATGGCTCACCTGGGTTCAATTCCCAGCATCCCATATGGTCCCCTGAGCACCGCCAGGAGTAATTCCTGAGTGTGGAGCCAGGAGTAACCCCTGTGCATCGCAGGGTGTGACCCCAAAAACAAAAATAAATAAATAAATAAATCCCTATGGAAGGTCAAGGAGCCCCAGGGACAAGGAGCAGAGCATGGGTCAAGGGCCCTAGGGGGCTGCTTCTCCAGCAGCACCTGCTCTGGGCCTGGTACACCTGGTTGGTGTGCGAACTGTCCCTCCTTCCCATCTTGCACACACACGTACGTGTACATACACACACATGTGCACATGTGCACGTGTGCACACACACTCACACAGAGGGAGGACAGTAGCCTCCCTGGGACAAACACATCAAAGGTGAGCACTGGACATCTGCAGCAGCTGCTAGGCTGTAAGAGGAGCCAAGGGGGTCAGGCCCAGAGGGGCACAACTTGCCAGATCTCCGTGGCACTGCGGGAGTGTCAGGCCTGGGGTCAGCCACACCCAGGCGTCGGGTTGACCCTCCTTTCCCCTCCAGCACAACCTTGTTGGCCAAGCCTGTGCTTTCACACAAAAAGCAAACCACCCCCAAGATTTCCTAAACAACATTGACCATATCAGCCGGCTGCTCCAGGCCTCTGGCATGGCTGAATCCCTGTGGTGGGAGGCTCCCTTCGCCCCAGTCACCAGGAATCTGAGTACTGCTTGGCACAGTTACTCCTTTGGGACAAGGCCCCATAGCCCAGCTCTGACTCCCTCTCTTCCTGAACTCCTTTTGTTTCTCCCTCTCTCTGGTTTTCTGGTCTCACATGAAATCACAAGTGCAAAGGCGATGCGTGCTGATTTAAGGCAAGTGTGAGATGAAAATGTCCTTCCTTTTCGTATACAGGGAGATATTTTTATATGCATATAAATAAACACTTTTAATTTGCTTCGACGTACAGACTTTATCACAGCAGAGCATGTGTTTTGTTACCCCAGTGAAGGGAGGCTGTGAAAAAATGAGGCTCCAGGCAGCTAATCCATCTGGTGCGGTTCAGAGAAAGTGGTTCCGGAGCAGCCAGGCCAGAACGGAAGTGCCCTCTAGACCCATTGTGCCCCCAGGTCTCTCTCAGAGAGAAAACATAAACTCACTAGGGATGCAGAGGAAGCAGTGGCAGCTGCCCTGCAGGAGAGATGGACAGCTCTGAGCAGTGGGCTGGGCACAAGTTCTGCAGGGACCAGGGGATCCCCTTTTGGGATCATTGCAATAGCTGGGTCCAGGCCTGGAGACCCAGCCCAGCGGGTAGGGTGCTTGCCTTGTGGACAGCCTCTGAGTCCCCACCAGGAGTGATCCCTGATCACAGAGCCAGGAGTAAGCTCTGAGCACCACTGTGGCCAAAAAAAATAAAGCAATGTCAGGGCTGAAGCGATAGTACAGCAGGTAGGGCGTTTGCTTTGCACCCGGGTTCGATTCCCAGCATCTCATGTGGTCCCCTGAGCACTGCCAGGAGTAATTCCTGAGTGCAGAGCCAGAAGAAACCCCTGTGTATCACCAGGTGTGACCCCAAAAGAAAAAAAATAATGATGATGCAATGCCTAGCTCCTGGGAGGGCTCTGGCTGCAGGGAATTCCCCCTTCCCCTGGCGGTCCTGGTGTTCCTGCCATGGAGTGCATGCCCAAGAGCAGGGACTGTGAGCCCCGCCCAGTCCCTGGGCTTCTGAGTGGATGTTGACCAGCCTGCACCCTCCTGGCTGGCGATGGTCTTTCTGTGGCTGGGGATAACTCAGATCTTCACTGTCACCATGTGACCTCAGCTCCTGGGCTGGGAGACGGTTCCAAGGACTGAGTGCATGCTTTGCAAGTGGGAGGTCAAATTTCATGCCCTGAGCACCAGGCCTGGTGTGGTGCTCAGCCCAACTCCACCAGCCCCTCAGACTAGTGTGTGCTGGGCAGTCCTTTATCTGCCTCTGAAGGGCGCAGAGCAGCTCATGAGAACCTGAAGCCTCGCAGCAGGGTAGAAGGGACCGGGCTGTTTCCAGCACCCCACATTGCAGGGGACTGTGGGTCCTGCAGGGCTCCTGGGCTGTGAGGCCTGGGGGTGCTGACCTAAGGAAAGCTCGGGGGCTCCTTGGCTGTGGGACTGTCCAAGCCTTTGATGAGCCGGGGACCTCCCCCAGAGGGTAAAGCCGCATTTCTCCCCAAACTCAGCAGCCCAGAGTCCCTGCTTCTCGCCCACACAGGCCTCTCGGCTTGATTGATGTGGGAACACGGGAAGAGGAAGCAATTACCCCGGGCCACACAGCAAATGTTTCTGAAGGTCAGGAAACTGTGTTGGCTGGCTGCCAGCCCCCTCCCCCCCCCCAGGCCCTCCTCCTCCTCTGCTGGGGACACCTGGAGTGCCCCCAACTCTGCTTGCTGAGCCTGCCTTTCAAGTCCACCCTCCCTGGAGAGACGACAGTGTCCTCAGGACACAGGAACCAGAGCAGGACCTGTGACTCTAGGGACCTGAGTGGGGAGGGACCCCCTCAGGTGTGGCTATCACAGGCTCCAAGAGCAAAGGGCAGGCGGGTGGCATACTTTATGGGCCACCTCCCAGAACAGTAAACAGAGGCCTGACCTTGGCATGGGGGGTCCAGGGAGGAGGCTCATCTAGAGGGGATCTGAGAATAGCCACTTTTTTTTTCTTTTGGGTTACACCTGACAATGCACAGGGGTTACTACTGGCTCTGCACTCAGGAATTACTCCTGGCAGTGCCCAGGGGACCATATGGGATGCTAGGGATTGAACCTGGGTTGGCCATGTGCAAGGCAAATGCCCTACCCACTATACTATTGCTCCAGCCTCTAACCACTTCTTTATGCTTTTATCTCTACACTCTATTTGGGGGGTGGGAGGTGGGGGTTGCGAACCACACCCAGCAGTGCTGAGGGCTACTCCCGGCTTGGCTTGGGGCTTGCTCCCGATGGTGCCCAGTGGGTGGGGAAGTGCTGGGGAATGAGCCGGAGGGGTGGCGTAAGGGGCCCCTCACCTGACTCACTCTCCTGAAGGCCGCTGACTTGGACTTCCGTAAGGTTTCCCTCCAGTGATGTAGAGTGATTTTTATACATTTTGAAAAAAAGAGTCGAACATTTATTCTCCAAGCTTCATCCCAAAGATTCGGCTCTATGTGCGACAGGCAGGAGCCGTGCTCCGGGGCCCCCTGGGGCCGGCCCAACAGCCCTGCACGCCTCTGCCTTTCTCCCTCTCCCCAATAATAGGAGTGAGGCAGGCAGGGCAGGGAACCTGGGCTGGAGGGCAGGGGTGGGGGAGGAGTTTGGGGGGGTCTATCGCCCGGTGTCCCCAGGGGTTGTTCTGGAATCATCGCCTTCCCTGGGGACATCCCGTGTAGGCCAGGGCCGGTTCTAGCAGCCTCTGGCAGAGGGGGGAACTGTGACCTTATGAGGGGTGACCTCCATCCTGAGTCAACCCTGATGGCCCCCAAGCCC